GCTCGAGCAAATCGATGAACAATGGGAGGATATTGCTAGAGTGCTACAGTGCTACTATAACTTGTTAACCTTTCTTTGCGTGCTTTATTTCTAATTCTAATTATGCTAGTATTCATATAATCATTGGAATTTTATTAGTCTTAGGTGTCTTCATATACATCTCTGTTCACATTGATATGCTTGTCTGTGAAATGCAGGATATTAGAAATTATAATGGATGATATAATTAAAGTTTAGCTCCTGAAGTATATCTTTAACCCTCACAACCTCAGAAGCTATCAGTATCTATAATTGATAGCCAAAGGAATGGAAATTCCCTGGAATTACTTGCGTTTCCACCTTTTGTAATACTATATGCTACTCTGTGATTTGCATTATTACAACATCATTAAATTAAGCTTATCTTTCCATAATATTAATTTATACTCTATTATTACTTGTAGCAAAAATTTAGACAGTTGTTCTTGTCAGGAAGTTATAGGTTAATATGATTTTCTGAGGAATGCTGTAGGCAAAAATAGGTGACAAAAAATTCGGTTAATCTCTCATTTAGGGCTATTTATATACACTTTATTCAAAGCAGCTTAATTTTACATTAAGTTTGTGCTCATGTTTTAGTTTCACTTGTTCCCAAGTTTGAGATAATGGAATTTAAAGGATGGTTTTAACATTTGCATGTAACACCTGTGATACAGTTTCATTGTCAGAGACATAGTTAAAAATATGATTTGTACATTCACTCTTCTGGTAGTCACAACAAAGTTTTTAAACTTAATTAGCTCCTGAAATAGCAAATGTTTTGAAGGTTCTGAAAACTTTCCCTCCAGATGATGCTGAGTGGTTATATATTTATAAAAATTTACTCCATATTCTCAAATTAGAATGCTGATGGATATGCTTCTCAAGGTAAACATCAGTTGCAGATGCATATTCCAGTATTTTTTTGTCATCTACCTGTGCTTTTCACTAGAGAAACCTAGAGATTTAATTCACATAATTCAGTCTCCATGATACTTATTATAATTTCATTGTATAGTGCCCATCTATGCCAATGCCATTGCATAGTTGCTGTTTTTTTTTCACTCTGATGGTGATCATTTTGACATGGCAGTGGAGTGGGGAATGCACTACTGATATAGTAGTGCTTCCATCACCCCATTCTCAGTCATGATAACATTGCTTTCATTATTCCTTGTCTCAGCTCTCTGATACAGAAGAGACGAAGGAAATAAAGTATTCTCAGCAGGTTGAGAGATTTTACAGAGTGTGCTGTACACCAAGGAAGCTTTATTTTAGAGCCATATTGCTGGTTAGTATTTACAGGTTTAACAAAAAATTGTTTGAATTTCTAAGCAGTATTGACAATCACATAAGAAGGTCTCGATTGTCTTTAGATTAATCCAAGATTTGTGAATGATCCACACAAATCTGGGTTCCCTCCATTTTTATACATGAAGAATGAGGGCTCCAGGAGTTTGTTTCATGTCAAAGATTTCCTAGTTGATATGCAGAACCTGTCACCCGCATTCAGCCTCAATCCTTCCTACCATTTTCATCTTTATTTATAGCTAGTAAAGACTGGGGGTGTGGGGGTGGGGGCACTTAAACACTACAGTCTATAATTATAAAATATTTTGTTTTATACTTCTAGAAACTTATTGAGTCAGAAATCACACTAGATAGTATATTGAATTTATTTTCAAAGAATTAATTAGATAATTATTGCATAACTAAAAAGTAAGTGGGAAATACTGAAGTTAACATAGTAATGTGGGAACTGTGGGGATTTCGCCAGAGGGTGGGGAAACAGAGGAAAGCTACTTGGAGGAAGTATTCCTGAGTGCTGGGGCCAGATCCCTGCAGTATAACCATCCCAGGATCTTGCAGAGAATACTCCCAAAGCAAATCCAGACCTCTGAACAAAAGACCCCACCTTGCTTAGGAAGTGATAAGAGTGTGCTTCTGAGAGCATAGGAAGAAAGTGATATTAGTGTCAGAATTTGGAACCGATATTCAGTTGAATTGCCAAGAACTGGAAACGGAAGGAACTAGTCTCATCTGTCTTTTCTGTCCCATCACCACTCCCAAATCCATCGCTCCCAGACCTTGTAGAAAATTGCTGACAGAGGATAAGTATGAATTGCAGAATCTCTACCAGTATTCTGGAAAGGATGATGATCTTAGAGTCAGTAGTTGGATAATTGGCATAGATGGTTTGTGAAACTGAAAGATGAGTGATTTCTGTATTGCTTAATTTAAGCCTTAGGTATCTATATGAATACTTCGGGTCTTTCTGTGGTTTTTCCATGAGGAATATTCAAACAATTATTGTTCAACAATTAGTTTTTAATGCATGTATGTTCACTAATGACTTAGCATTCTCATCTAAGGTGATAAATCTCTTCAAGTAAAACCTCCAGTGGAATTGTGTTCTGTGAAACGAGCATCTAAGTCATAAAGAGAAGATGTAATAGATGTGTCTAGGGAATGTCCTATTATGGGTATAAAAAGACATGGGAAGGTGTCATTTTACATAGTGGTGTATTTCTGCGCTCAAGTACTTTCTGTTCTTACTTAACTTTCACAATTGAATTGTGTCATCGAAAATCACAGGAACAATTAAGTAGAACGACTTTATTGGCAAGAAAACAACGTCAGTTGGGGGACACATCTAATCAGCACAGGCTAGAAAAAGAACTGTGTCTGACTTTATGTAGGGGAGAGCATAACAAACTACATATTTTGTAGTTTTTCAGAGGAAAATACGTATCTTTTTGAGGGGTGAAAGTGGGCATGCACAGTTGAGCCACTGAAAATATAATCATATATTGGATCTATACAAAGCGGCAGAGCAATTTCTTTAGGTGTATGTGTTTAGTATGAGGGAAAAGATTAAAAAAGGGTCTAATGCACAGTATCTACTGAGCAGTTCTGTCCAGCTACGAGTCTGCTTCCTTAGTTCAGCAGAAAGGTGCTTTAGGGGTTGGTCCTAGTAAAAGCCAAAAGAATGTCTTGATGTGGGTACTGTCAGGAAGAGCTTGTCCCTTCTTCCCCACTACAGACACAACCAGTCTGTTTTTGTTTTTTGTGGGTTTTTTTTTGCTTTTTAATTATTTTTCAGTTTGATATGCCAGTATTCATACTATTTTTTTCTTCACCTCAGATTATTTAATTTGGGGAGTAAGAAAAAGGGAGCACATTGCAGAGTTTGATTATTTGGTTATAAAAGTGGTCAAATTGAATTTGTAGCAATGTCATAATTTGGATTATAATTCATTCTAAATGGCAAGTGACCTGTTTCTGCAGTAGTTGTATTTTACACTTTAAAGTTGTATTTTGCTTTTTCAAAAGTTTCTCATGCCTGTTGGATATTTCATAGGTAACTTAGAGCAACATTGAGTTAGAAGGAAATAAGTATTTTTTAGGCATCTTGCATGCTTTGTACTAATATAATGCCACTTTTTTGGTTTTGTTTTGAGGGGCCTCCCCGGTGATGCTGGACAGACAACAAGGGCTGCCTCAGGTCATTGAGGGAAGCCACATGTGCCAGGGATTGGATCTGTGGCCATACTTTCTCTTCAGCTCTGTCTTTCTCTGATCTCTTTTTTGGTTTTGATGTTTAGCTACACTTGGGATATCTTTGATGGTTTTGTTGGTGTACCTTTTAAATAGCATCAGAGTCAATGTTTCTAGCATCTAGTTGCCATTCTTGAAGCTGTCTTTAGGTTTCTTTTCATAAAAGTGAGCCTGTAGATAATAGTCATATGAAAAGTGTGACTTTTGCCATAGGCAGGTATAACTGCAAAATGTATATGAAAAGTATTTTTAAAGATTGCTCACCACTTATTCTCTAACATGAAAACAGTGATTGTGGTTATGTAATTGACCTGAAAATGTACAGCCATAGTATGATTATATCCCACTTTGAAGTTTTTGAATAGTCTGTCACAGGGATAGTGCCTGTATTATTGTATATATAACTAGAAAATATACATTAGATATGAAGGCAATAGAGAGCAAAATGCAGGTTTTATATGTTGTTATAGAATATCATTATTGCAGTCATATTTCTATCTCATAGCATGATAATACCAGCAGCATGAATGAGAAAAACATTGAATCTTCACACAAAGGAAATGGGTTTTATAATGAGTGCAGTCTGAAGAGAACTAATCTCTTTCCTGGATCATTACTTCACCTAATCATAAAACCTTTTTTTAATTCAAATCCTTGCAGGGTTCTAATTGGTGACCTCTGGAGCCTGATAATTGTTTAAGATAGCTGGTCTTTTGCAGTATACTTAATGATGTTTGCAATTAAAATTGAGAAATGTGTTTTAACCCTTAGGCAGGTATAAGTGAAAAGTAGATTTTCCATTTTCATTCCTTGGTGTTTGCTTCCCCTTCTCCCAGTAGTTACTGATTCCAGTCATTATTAATTTGAATTAGTTCAATACTTTTTGTCTTCATTTGTCAGTGGGATTACCGAATTTTCATTTGAAATGTGTTGTGTTGAAAGAATTACCGTGAGTCACTTTTGGATAGCCATGTTTAGGAAGGCAAGAACTCAGCTTCTTTTCTCTGTCCTCTGGGTCCATCTTCCTGCCAGTTAGTTTTGGTTGATTTAAGCAGAAGTTCAATCATCCTTAGCAATCATCTTTCAATAAATATTTCAAGATTTTTCTTGCTACCGGATGCAGATGGATCAGCAAAACAGAAGTTTGCCAATATTCACTATTAATGCTGATGACATTGCAGATGAAGCAGCTTGATAGTTTTGTCTTCTCCACTGTATATAGCAGATGCTGCAAGTTAGTGCTATTGTCTGTTTATAATGTACATTTTAACTTTCTGTGTTATATTGTTATATTTTTCACTAAACCGTGAACATTCAGTGGTTGCAGCTGACTGTTTATTCTTTCAGAGTTCCATTAGTTTATTGGTAGTGGAACTTAATTCTGAGTCATACTCTTCATTCTTATCTTTTTTTTCCCTTCACAGAAATAGAAAAGTTTCAAAAAGGAGAAGGCAAAGATGAAGAAAAGTACATTGATGTGGTGATTAATAAAAACATGAAACTGGGACAGAAAGTGTTAATTCCTGTAAAACAGTTTCCTAAGGTAAGGCACGTAAGTGTGTGTACATGTAATTTGTGTTAAACTTAACCATGGGGAAGCAGATATCTGATTTACATCCTTTGATATTTTCTAGAAATGTTTTCCCATAGTACCACAGCCCCCTCTCTTTCTCCACAAAACATACATTATTTTAAAATTAATTGAAAAACTTGTTTGGCGATTCTATCTTTTCTCTTTGATCTTAACTTGAGTTATGGAGCCCTGAAGCATCACACTTGGATCCATAGCAGTGATGGTGATGAAAAACATATTTATCTTCTTTGTATTTTAGTTCTTTCTCAGTTGAGATAGGATTACTTGGGATTAAATAAGTATAATTATTTAATGCTTAGTGTCGGATTTAACATGTTAGAAATTTTATATAATTATGCTAGAGATACTGTATTTTATATTCATTGAAATTAGTATTTTATGTCATTGACCACAATTACAGTAGGTGCCTCAAAAATCTTTATGCAGTGCTATTATCTTGATAATTTTGGATTTGGCCTGAATTGATACTTCCCTTACTCAGTTTTTTTTCCTTTGTTTTGAGAGCCCATTGCTTGACTTACACATGCTGCCCTTTCTATCAGTAGTTCATTTCTTTTTATTACTGAATATGTTAGTTTGTTTGGAGGTTCTAGCAATAGCACATTGAGTACGGCATTTGCCTTGCACACGGCCGGCCCGGGTTTGATTCCTTGGTCCCTCTCGGAGAGCCCGGAAAGCTACCAAGAGTATCCCGCCCACATGGCAGAGCCTGGCAAGCTCCCCATAGCGTATTCAATATGCCAAAAACAGTAACAAGTCTCATAATGGAGACGTTACTGGTGCCTGCTTGAGCAAATCGATGAACAATGGGAGGACAGTGCTACAGTGCTATTTTAGTTTATCTGTTTGAACAGTGTTCAGTTTTGGTTTAATATAAATTACTATGAACATTTTTCATAGTCATTTTTAATCTGTATGCTTTCGTTTTCTCTAATCACTACATATTTAATTTTATAAGAAATATTCCATACTATTTCCTTGGCTGTTACAATATTGTAACATTTCAAGGAATATTGCATGTAACCTATGATTGCTCAATAGTTTCATCAGATTTGCTAGTCAGTCTCCTTTTGTCCAGACTTATATTTAAGAATAACATCATTTTTGTATGAATTTGAATTTCTCTGAAACCTGTTGATTTTAGTTTTCACATTCATGTATTGATTGGTTATTAATGATATCTCTTCCATTGTGGAATATTTTTTGACATCTTTTGCCCTTTTTAAGTGTATTGTATGTCTTATTATTGAGTTCTAGGAGCATTTCATATTTCTTAGAAAAAAAATCTTGTTAGATGTATATTTTGTGACTGTAAGACTCAGCTTATGGCTTGCCTGAGTCTTGAGTTTTGTAATAAGCAGAAGTCTTAGTTTTAATGATGCCCATGTATGAAGTTTTTCTTTTGTCAGCTATAAAATACTAATCTAAAGGAAATATTAGAATACTATATAAGTTATAAATGTAGTTTTTGTTTGTTTGTTTGTTTGCGGGGCAGTGCTGTGGGTTTACTCCTTGCTCAGTACTAAGGGATCACTCCTGGTAGCTCTGGGGAAACCATATAGGTTGTCATGAATTGAGCCCTGGTCAGTCTCGTGCAGGGCAACTGCCTTAGCACTGTACTATCACTCTGCCCCCAAGATAGTTTTTTATATTTTCTCTAAAAGCTAAAGCTTTTACTTTTAGGCCTATAATATATCTCCATTTAATGTTTCTGTGGTGTAAGATGAAGGATCAAAATTCATTCGTATTCATACAGAGACCCAGTTTTTTTCAGTACCAATTTATAAAAGTTGCTTTTCTTACCACTGATTGTTTTAGTGTGTTTAATGAAAATTAGAATGCTATGTAAATGAGAGTTTATCGCTATACTATTTTGTTCCGTTGATATATTTATGGGTCCTTATGAACTACTCTAGTATCATGATACTGTTGTCTTATGTCGTAAAACATAGAATTAGCTAATTAATCCTTTGAACATTTTCTTTCTTTTTCAGGAATTCTTTTATAATAATTCTTGCAAACAATTTTGTTCTTTGCATTATAAATAAATGCATTTTCCTTGGAAAAATGATTTCTTTGCATATAATTGTAAAAATTATTTTTACTTTCACCAAGTTTTCCGTTTTGATTTGTGTTATTGTGATTCCACAGACATTGTTAAACTATCTGGCATCCCAGATGAGTTCTGCATTATTTTAAAAAATATAAATAAATATTTCAAACAGCTGAAGCATATCTCTTAGCATCAAAATATTTTACAAATGTTAATTATTTGGGGGTGGAAACATCTGAAGGGTGTCAGTCCTTCATTTTCTTGCTATTCAACATCATATTATCATTGAGTTTCTTTAGACATCTTTCCTTTTGTTTAGCGTTTTAATTTCTCTCAGCATTTATATATATCTGTGTGTATACACATGTACATGTGTGTATACATGCATACACATATTCATACATATATGTAGATATATATACACATCCATATATGTATATATTTAGAGGGAGGCAGGGTTTGGTCCACACTGAAGGTGATCAGGGGTTGTTCCTAGAGCTGTACTCAGGAGTTAACCCTGGTAGTACTTGAGGAATCCTCTGTCGTGCCAAGGATCAAACCAGGGTTGACTATATAAAAGGAAGTCCTTGATCTCCCTTAATAGGGCTTAGAGCCTTCTTATTTATTCTTGTTTGTTTGCTATTGAGGCAAAAGTGGTGCTCAGTGTTTAATGAAAATTAGAATATTAGGTAAATGTATTCCTCTTAGCTCCATGCTTAGGGATCACTGCAGGCAGGGCTTGGGAACTTATGGGGTGTTGGGGATCAAACTACGTTGACTGTGTGCAAAACAAGCATCTTGTCCACTGTACTATCATTCAGCTCGCATCATTTATTCTTCTTGGGGGTCTCATTTGGTTTGTCTGCTAAATATCTTGTGTTTTCTGACAGTTGAAAAATGGATACTGTTTTGCAGATTCTGCTTTCATTATAATTTTTTTAATGTAGGAGTACCGCTATTTATTCAGCCACTGATCAGCTGATTGAACTGGGCATGAACTCCACCTTACTTTTTTTCATTTATTATAATTTTATTTATTGAATCACCATGAGAGCAGTTACAAAGCTTTCGGGTTTAAGTCTTGGTCATGCAGTGAAACACCCGTATCTTCACCAGTGCCCATTCTCCACCCCCCAAAACCCCAGTACATCCCCATCCCACACCCTTCCATTACCTGTGGGGTAGATGATTTCCACATTCCTCTCTCTACTTTGATTACATTCAGTATTTTGACACCAGACACACCATTATTATTTGGGATTTTACCCCAACACTCAGATCTGCTTTAAAGGCAACAGTAGACAATTTGTTTTCTGTTGCTGGTTATAAATAACATGGGATGTCACATGGCTGCAGCTGTGGCCTTGCGATTTTGAAATACTGAAATTTTAACAATTAAATCTGGAGGGACTTCTGCCAAAATTCACTGGGTTTCGAGATTTGTTTCTCAGTCTCTGGGATCATGGCCGTTAAGCACCTTGATCAGGAGCCAGTGCTGGCTCCACCCCCATCCCGTAAGGCCCAGCATTTCTCAACACTGTGGGCCCAAGCCTGACTGTCGAGTGGCCTCTGGAGGATGGTGGCCACCGAGCCTTCAAGGGGGAGCAGGTGGAGGGATAGCACCCTTTCCCCCCTGGGGTGGCCCGGCAACAGTAACCTATTGTAGGGACCTGATGTATTTCTGCCAAAAGCTGCTGGGTTTCAAGATTTGTTTCTGAGTCTCTGGGATCATGGCCATTAAGTAGCTTGCTGAGGAGCCAGAGAGGCTGTTTGTGGGCAGTGACTCGGGGTCTTGTTGGGATGAGGAGGAAAGGGCTGGCTCCACCCCCATCCCATGAGACCTCACGTGTCTTGTCATTGCGGACCCAAACTTGACTGTTCGGTGGCCTCTGGAGGATGGCTGCCACTGGGCCGCCAGGGGAACAGGCCAAGGCACGAAACCTATTCCCACCTGGGGTGGCCCAGTGCCTGTAACTACAGGAACTGGATGCATTTCTGCCAAAAGCAGTTGGGTTTCGAGATTTGTTTCTGAGTCTATGCGATCATGGCTGTTGAGTGGTTCGATCAGGAAACAGAGAGGCCATGCCTCCAATTATATAGCTGAGCCGAAGTTGGTTTGTGGGTGTGTCTTTCACATACCTAACTTTTGGTTGTTTATTTTCTTGGTAAACTTTGCCCCCATGTTTTGGAATCTGGCCAAAGGCCAACACAGCAATTATGGGGTATCTGCTAGTCTGAGGGTGCCATCAGGCTGTTGATGCACTCACCTCACAAGTACAGATTGACCTGCTGGCGGCGCCATACCCTCTCATTATAAATTTTTATGTATTAAGCTTGTGTTAAGCTACCTTAAGTTCACGTATTTCAAGTAAGCTCTTTCACATTTTTTTTCTTTTTGGGTCACATCTGGCAGTGCTCAGAGGTTACTCTTGGATCTGCACTCAGAAATTAATCCTGGCAGTACTCATGGGACCATATAGGATGCTGGGAATTGAACCCGGGTCGGCTGTATGCAAGGGAAACGCCTTACCTGCTATGCTATTGCTCCAGCCCTTCACGTATTTCTTAAACTATGTTATATCCATAGTCATTTCATCTGTATGTTCCTTTAGTTTATTTAGCTTTTATTATATTATTGACCAGGATCTCTGGTATAAAGTTTGAATATAGTTACAAGATTAGATCATTTAATTGGCGCCAAATCATTCTGGAAAACATTTAATATTGTGCCATTAAGGAAAATAGCAAAGTGTGGCTATTTTCATAAATGTTTTTTGATAGAGAAAGTTCCTTTGTATTTCACTTGCTGTAAGATTTGATACGGAATGGATGGTGAATTTTTTGACTGTCTTTTCTGTATATGTTGAAAAGAATAGTGAACATTATTCCTTGACCT